TACACCATGCTGAACCCATCCGAGTATGGGGTTTCCATTCTGGGAAATGCTCCGTGGGTAAAGGAGGAAGGTATAGCATCACCAACGGGTAGAAAAACGGCTGGGTTGTATGTGTGGTTATGGAGATCCAGAGAGGGGGTGAAATTGGCGGCATGGTTGGGCATGGGAATTTGGCTTGGGACTGTCGGGAATGATGGGGAAAATATGGAAAAATAAGGAGTGTGTGTGTGGAGTGTTGGATAGTGATAGAATGAGCATTGGGAGCATCAGCGGATATGTAATGTGTGTTGGTGGGTAAATTCTGCAGAATCCGACTTTTTGTGGTGCACGGAGTTGTCCCCACAACAGTGTTAAGCCAGTACTCGGCTAACCCAGGTGAAGTACACAAAAAGGCTATCAATCAACTCTTATGATATCTCAATACTACAAACTGATTTATGATGGTAATTCACTAGAATGCAACAATCACGGATATTCCGATTCAGATTGGGCTGGGGATTCATGCGACCACCATTCCATTTCTGGATACGTTTTCAAGATCGCTGGTGGAACCATGACTTGGAGTTCCAAGAAGCAACCCTCGACAGCGCTTTCCAGCACCAAGGGTGAATACATGGCCTTCACTCATGCTGCCAAGGAAGCTGTTTGGATGTGACAATTCCTAGGCAACCTAGGCCTCAACTTCGACATCCCCACTATCCTTCTAGGAGATAACCAAGGCGTGATGGCATTGGTGATGAACCCGATGTTCCATGCACGTACCAAACACATCCGTGTTCGTCACCATTTCATTTGCAATTGCATCAATAACGAAGACATCGAACTTGAGTACGTTCCTACAGCCGATCAAGTGGCCAATGTCTTTACAAAGGGACTTCCAGAAGCCAAGCACACGAAGTTTATGACAATGATGGGTGTTAGCTCACACTGAGTAGGCATGTTGGAAATCATTGTGGTTAACAATGATCTATTTACCTTATTAGTTTGTCTGATGCGGTGTTGATGGGATCACCGCTGATACCCGTTTCTGCCTACTCTTTCTGTTCTATGTATTAACCCTTGCCAACAACCATGTGTCGCAACTGCAAGCGATATTAGTACTCGTTGTATAAATGGCACTGGGCGCTAGGTTTTTCTTTTCCCTCAGTTCTCAAGTTAGAGACTGAGGTGCTATCCCTTTTTCGTTATTTTAACTTTCATATAACTGACTGTACTCTCCATGTTATAGTCCGTGTGTATGTCATATCCGTGCATACCTGACCCCGATCTGACTTCCGGACCTCCACCCTCTTCACCTCCGGAGTCATAACCTACCGCTGCCGTTCCGATACTCACCTTCGGTCTTGGCAACACACCCCTCCTCTTACCTCTCCGACCCTTTCTCCGTCCGTTCCGATACTCATCTCGGACCGAACATCCCCCCACTCGCCACCCTTCCTACAACTCCGCTCCCCCCTCACAACACCTCCACCCTCCTGTCATCCCCCTACACTTCCCCCGTCCGCTCCGATACTCACCTTCGGACCTGACTACTCTCCTTTCCGCCACTCCTTCTCCCCTTACCTGTCCCCTCTCTCCTCCCTCCGTTACTCCTCCGCCACCCTTCCGCCAAGTTACGACCTTCCACCGCTGTCCTGTACTTCGCACTCGGACACCGCTCGTACCTTACTCCGAGCCTCCATCATAGTCCCCACCTTGGACTTTGACTCCACCTCGGCCTTAGTCCATTGCATTGGTGACCTCATACTACGTAAACACCATTGCCAATATTCCTCGAACTTCCAACCCCGCCTCCGTAAGCTCCGTAAGCTCCGCAACCCCCGAGCTTCGTGGACCGCCTTCGGCACTCTCGCCGCCTGTAATGTATTTCTCGCATTATCCCTTCATCCCTATTTGGACTACTGCTTCTTTCTATTCTAGCCAGTTAGTCATCATTCCCACTTCCCCTCATCCTCCTGCCCCTCTGGGCCTTGCCCTCTCTACCTCCTTTCGGACGTATCACAGGTCTTGCCCTATGACCTTCGGTACCGCTCCGCCCCCTCTACCCTTTGTTCCCGTTCAGACGTCTTCGTTCCGATTCGGTCACCCTTTGTTCTCTTTGTGCTTTTGCCCCTTCCATTATATATATCGGCGCTTGTACATACTCGTTTTGGTTTCAGTCCGAAATCGACCTGAAATGCCCCCAAGAGACTTCCTGCTCACCTACTGTGAAATTAAGGACCAAATGGACAAACAGCAATGGCACAGCGCTCCGCTTGAGTTGCTGAGGCCAAGGTCCCTCCACGCTAAGTCTCCGATTCCACTCCGGAGTCGTCCGTTTCCGCCCATTCTAACAGTGTACAGGTAAAGAGTTACAATGTTATTAGTTCTCAAGTTAGAGACTGAGTCCGTGTGTACAGCTCTATTAATCATTTCAGTGGTTGCCCTGACACCCCCCTGCTCTGCACTGCACCACACCATCCTTCCTTTTCTTCCTCTCTTTCTTTCTTTCTTTCTCCTACATGGACCACCTTTCCCTCTGTTCAATGTACCACCAGCATGCATGCCACATGCCCCTCCTGTACCTACCATCCCTACATCGCCACCACCACCACCACACTCACCTTGTGCCTACAGCAGACCCTCTCAGGATCTCCCATGGAAACACCTGGAGAGCCACAGCTGTGTGTGAGGGTGATGTGGTGTGCCCCATGTGACCAACCCCACATGTATATAATAACAGCTGGAGTGGGAACTGAAGAAGTAGCCTTCTTCTCACATTCCCACTTAAGGCCAAGTGGTTGGGGATGCTCACCCCACAATGGGACCCCACTACGCATAGCCACTATTCATCCCATTGAGTCCCGTGCACCGGGACTTCGCTGCTTTCGGAGCTGTCCCTGACATTCTGGGAGCCCAGAGTGGAGGTCAGGATTGTACAGTGCCCCAGATGCTGACATACTCTGCTGAACTCCAGACCACCAGCTGGCCATGAAAGCATTCAGATGGACTTGGGAACTGTAGTATAATTGAGGAAGATCTTCAGTTTGGTTGCCAATGGGGGGATTGGGAGAATAGAGCAAGTCTGGGCTCCTGGGCAGGCCAAACATGGTCAATCTTTTACTCATTAAATGCATGACCTAGGATACACCTGCATCATGGGGAACCCCATCCACCCATTCGGTGACATGAGAAGTCAATTCCTCTTCAGCTGCACAAAAATATTTGCAACCAGCTGGGGTTTTGCTCCAGAAAAATAGCATCCAATCATCCTCATCCCATCCTTTATAGCCAACCAGGGGTTCCATAGTCTCAACCATATCCACTTCAGCACCTTCAGTAACCCCCCCTGGAGCTGTACCACCACTATTTCCGTCATGCACGCGTTTTTGAATTGCTATGTTCCGATCATGAACTGTTCGAGAGGGGCCACTAGGTTGATGATTTACTTGAACTTCAGGACAAGGAATGTTGCCACGCTTTGAAAGCAGATGGGCATGACAACCCCACAGCTTGACAACTGCAGCACCATAGTTGTAATGGAGTATGAGGGAAGAGGGCTTGGATAAAGTTGTTCCTCGCAAAAAGCAAGCATCCTTGTTTGCCCTGGAAATCAGCGGGGGATCATCATCTAGACATTGGAGTGAAAACCGTTCGCCGAGCGGATACTCTAACTGCATTGCATCTAGGGGAAAGTCAGGACCATTAGGTGGCACATCACCAACATCTAAAATTCTATTCGGAGTCTGCATGAAGGGGTTAGGAATATCCAAGATAAGGAAAAATGAAGAACCTTAAGAATTACAAATCGACGTGCATCTATGTGCTGGTGAATATCCGCTCCAACGAAGAGCCCATTACGAATGTCGTTGATGGATCTAAGGTCCGACACATCCTCTTCATAGGCGTTACGTCCGGCGATTATTAGACGGAACCACTTGGACGAAGTCTGAGGCCATGCCAGCGCAATGATCAGCAATATAAACCCACCTCGTCTCCGCGAACATACGGGATGATGTGAGCTGCGTCAGGAAATGGGTCGTGTGTGAACACGCAGCGTTTATCGCGTTTAACGAGTTCTGCGCGGAAGCCCGCTCGACCCTCAGAGAGCGCCGAGTCCGAGTATGAAACGTTACTCCGCAGTTTAATGACTTCGGGATCGATTACACGCGCAAGCACATCCGTTCCATCTGTGTGGGTGGGATGGATGGTATGGATGGTCAGGCGAATGATCCAATAGGAGATAACGAGAACGCGAAGGACCTGCCGGAGCACAAACATAATCATAGATCCCTTGATCGGCCAGCACTCCTTCGTCCCCAATATCTTCTCCCTGACGCGTTACTTGGCCTTCGATACCCAAAACACACCAACCAAGATAGCCGAGATACTTGCGAGGATGCTGGCACAACCGCGTAATTATGCGAACAGGTATGTCAAGGTAGAAGGCTCCATCGGCATTGGGAGGGCGGAAGAGAAAGAGCCAAATGTTCCCTGGCTTGGGGGTTGGATCCCTGAGGACAGGTCGACGTCGAGGGATTTCGACGTAGGCACGGTTAGGCAGTGTAGGTGAAGTCATCCTTGCTTCTGGTACGTTTAACTGGTTGTGCTGTTGTGTGGGCTCTTGCGATTCTCGTGCTCGTGTGAGGACGAAATCCGCAGTGTGAGGTCTCCAAGGTCGGCGACTCAAGCTAGAGGAGACTGACTGGTCGGCAACGCAGGTTACAACGTCGGGTGCTATATCGTTCAGTCCCATAGTGGAACAGAGAATAGTCATGTGCTTGACATGGAAAATGTCTCGAAAAAGACCAACTAGAGATAGTTCATATATTATAATCATATTTAAATGGTCAATGCGCGGAGACGGTCCAAGTTACAAGTAATCTGAAATCTGAACCACTGTTGACAGCATAATGCCTATGTGAGCACCGTTCATCGCAACGCTGGCAGAGCACAGCAGGCAGGAAAGCATCGATTTTGATTTTGAGAGAACCATGCGACGTGAATATCGACCCAGAAAAAAATTAGACACACATTACCAATCTTGAGAATCGTCCTGGAGCCCGCTTTTCGTCAACAAAGATGCCTTCTTGGACAAGGAAGATGAACAGGGGTGAGATGACATCGATATTGATGTCACCTCTCGTGCTGATGAAGCGGGATTGTGTCCTTACTTTCGACTCTTCAAAGGATCGATCGTATCACGGAGTGAATTGAGTTGACTTCCAAGATGTCCGTATCACTGAAGATAGGGGAAGCAAGTATGAGTTGATAGCAAGATAACATTGTAACCGCGCGCGCGCGGTGAAGCAGTGAATGGGTGTAGAAAGTAATGAAACCAAAATAATGGGAGGCGCTACCACCGCGGAATGCTGGAGCATTGTGAATGAGTAAAACACGCAGCACACAAAGCAAAAGGGTATATGTCTGTAAAGATATGAACACACAGATATGCGTACCAGCGTGTTGTCACGGCTTATTTGTCCAACGTAGATTGAAGGTGTTCTCATTAGTAAGATGAGTTGGCATTCAGGTATTCTTTCTGCTCAAGCTCCCTCTTCAAAGTGCAGATGTAGGACTTAACTTCTATGACTTTGTAATATTAGCATAGATGATCCGTTGGAAATAACAGTACTTATCTAAACCGCTTGAGTCGCTTCTGAATTTGAACCACTGTCGTGAGTGGCAAAGGGGTTCATCAACGCTCTCGCGCTCGATTCCGGACAGTTCTTTCCCTTTTAACAGACTTCATGGCCACCATCAAGGGGGGGCCTACCTCAACGGTGCCAAACTTGTTTTGCACCTGTACGGTTGCCCAGCAGGGCCAGGATGGATGGATGGATGGATGGATTCATTTTAGAGTACGTAACCGTGCCTATCGGCATATGCCGTACTATAGTGACTCGGGTGAAAAAAGTTTGGAGAACATAAGGATGTGAAGAAAGGAATTTGTTTGACCTAGGAAGTATGAGACATCGAGTAATCAATGGTGTGAAGGAGAATAAAGTGAGATGAAGCAATAACACATAAAGGGGCATGCGACCCCTGCACTGAGGTTGAACAACGGGTGAGGGAGAATGGAGGTGGAAAGAGGTTGGATAGAGAAAAGGACACGCGACCCCCAGTGTTGGGGTCGCATGTTTTGCTGCTGTGTGCCTATGGTTAAGTCAATGTTTGAGTGCGCGGTTCTTGCGGGTGGGTGAGTTGGAGGGTGCTTTCACGGGTTTATGTCACAGTAGGCTGGTGAATGTTCCAGTGGCAGCGAAAGGCGATGGGTGTTGGTGGCATCTTGCTCATGCTTGTTGAATAAAGGCATGTGGCAGATAGGCCTTTGGTAGAAGGGGTAGTGGAGAGAAATGAAAGTGTTGGGGTGACGGCAGGACTTGAACCTGCATTCCTTGCAGTCAACTTTTTGTCGGCATATGGGGCTATCGTTGGCGCTACCACTATCACGCCTCGTCACGAAGAGGTAGTGGAGAGAAAGATGAATCGGAAGGGTGTTGGGGTGATGGCAGGACTTGAACCTGCACTCCTCCGGCCTGCCCATGGACTTATGGAGGCTACCATTGGCGCTACCACTATTGCACCTCACCATCCCAAAAGGTAGTGGAGAAGAGAAAAAGAAGGAAGGGTTGGGGTGACAGTGGGACTTGAACCCACAGTCCTCTGGCCAGTCCCGTCTGGGCTTACGGAGGTCACCATTGGCGTTGCCACTATCGCGCTCGTCATCCCAAAAAGGTAGTGGTGAGAAGAAAAAGGAAGGGTTGGCTTGACGGCGGGACATGCACCCGCACTCTTGCATCTCTCCAGCCAGTGTGGCTCTGGGCTTACGGGGTTGCGGTTGATTGGCATTACCACGGTGGCCACGTAATCCTCCCTTCAGATGTTAGAGGCCTAATTAGTTTTAAACAGGGGCACCGCATGAAGGTTTAGGCCCGTGCCGGGTGTTCGCTGTGGTAGCAGAACTCCCCCTCGACTGACATCCATCATCGAGGCCCCAGCAGGGCCAGGTTGAACTTTCGCATTGTGGCCACAGGTCACGTGACTGTGGCTTTTGAGCTCACTGCTACCTATGAAGGAATGGAAGGAAGGGAGTGGTTGGGGAGTCTGGGGCACCCTAGGGCAGGGTGCTGAACCCTGACAACTGGGTGGCGGGGTACCAGGTGAAGTGGGGCCGGGTGGGGCCGGGTGGGGCTGGGTCAGGTGGGTGTGCCCTGACATCACCCCCTCCTTAAGCTGCTTCCCCTTGAAGCGGCCAGGTGGTTCTCCCTCTCTCTTCCCAGGGTGCATCCTGTGGAATTCCTCAATCCAGTTGGGGGCATGGACTAAGTGGTCCTGCTGGAGCCATTGGTTCTCTGAGTTTGGCCAGCCAGCAAACTTCACCAGATACCAGAGTTTCCAGCCAATTCAAGCGATGCCAAGAGCACTCATAGTATTGAAAAGCTCAAGAATGATGGAAAGAACTATCGTATATGGTCTATCTGATGTCACATGGTCCTGATTGATCAGGGTCTTTGGAACTTTGTCAATCCCAAGTCATCAACCTCTGATCCCCCTTCTTTATTGGCTATTTTGACTACTGCCGCTGCTTGTCAGGGCACACACCCTGACTAGCCCGGACCCGGACCTGCGTCCGGACCCGCTTCCACCCGCCGCACTTCCCGCATGCGTGCACGCTCCGCGCACCACATGCTCCGGACCCGGTTCCTACCCCTTCATGTGACTTCTGGGTATCCCCGGAAGTTTTGCTGATATTGTGGCCACTGTGGGAAGATGAGAAGTTAGCTTCCTTCTCATCTCCTTACCCACAGTAGATTGTGCCCTGGATAGGGCTGGCCAGACCTGAGGCTGTGGGCCATAGGGGAGGGTCATGGGGACCTGGGAGTCGTCCCCTGACACTGCTACAGCCACTACTCCCCCCACTACTGGTGCTACTGGCGCTACTACCTCATCTACTTCCAATGCGCAGACAACAAGGACTTCTAGTCTTACTCTCAAAGAATGGAATGAAAAAGATGAGCAAGCTCTCACCCAGATATGCCTGAAAACCCCCTCAATATTGCCGAAGATAAAAGAACTGCGAAAGAGGCTTGGCTGGCACTGGAACAGCGCTACTTGGGCCAAGGTGCTTTAGATGCATCTGATCTAATGCACAAGCTACATCACCTCAAACTGGATGAGTCCAAACCATTGGAACTTCAAATTAACCAGATGCGGATAATGCGCAGGCAACTGGACTCTCTTGGCGATAGCATTACAGATGCTAAATTTGCTTTAATTATCGCTAAAGCTCTCCCACCAGCTTACAAGACTCTCAAATCCATTACCATAGCCAACACTAAGGATCTTTTGACGTTGGCCTGCAAGACCCTGATAAGTCAAATAATCAGGGAAGAGAAGTCAATAAAAAGCGAAGAAACTGAGGCTGCTGCACTACTAGCCAAATCCATGAAACCACTGGAGAAAGCCAACAGACAGGATGGCAAGAAACCCAAGAAACCCAGAGAATGCCCACGGAAGAGGCAGATCGGCCATACATTCGAAAGGTGTTGGGCTGAAGGAGGTGGAGCTGAAGGCCAGCGTCCACCCAAACCGGCCACTGGACAATCAGCGATGAAGAAGGAAGCCAAAATAGATGTTCTTGTAGCTGAGGAACATGCTGCCATGGCAAAACATGACATGACCAACCCATCTCAGTGGATTGTAGACTCCGGTGCATCTTCACACATATGTGCGCACCGTGAATTGTTCACAACCTTCCTCACCCTTACCACCCCCAATTGATTTACCTTGGTGACAAACGCATTTTACATGCAATTGGACAGGGTCAAATTCGCATTGCCATCCACAATAAATTTGGCAATCAGCATGCTTGTCAGGGACTTGTCCGGGGTCGAGGGGGTCCGGGTGTAGTGTCCGGGACCGAGAGCCTGGCAGGGGGCGGATCGGGCGTGCATACTGACAGGCCCGATGTGGGACAGTGGTCCCTGGCCACTTAGACTGAAGTGGAAAGTTGAGAAGAAGGTTACTTCTTCGGTTCCCACTTCAGGTTTGTTTATATACATGCGGCTTGGATCACATGACGGGTGCCACGTCACCCTCGCACACAGCCGTAACCACCCAGGTGTCTCCATGGGAGATCCCGAGGGCATCCGGTGCAGGTGTGCATGCTGGGCACAGTGGGAAGTCGCCTGAGGTGCCCGGGCCAGGTACATGGTGGGCGTGCTGCAGATGGGTCAATTGTACATTGATACAGAGAAAGTCGTCCATGTAGAATAAAGGGAGAATAAAGAAGAAGTAAGATAAGGAGAAACTGAGGAGGGGAGGATGAGGGGGGAAGAAGGGAAAGGGGGAGGAGGTAAGGAAGGGTGGACCGGTGGGGTACCGGGTCAGGTTGGGCCGGGTGGAGCCGGGTCAGGCGGGTGTGCCCTGACAATGCTACAGTTGCAGACATACAAAGACAAGAAAATTTCTACAGCAGGATTCTTTGAATCAGTTAGCTTTATTTTGTCAAAATCGGAACCCTTTTGACAGGATATGCATAAAAACACAATCCTTAGATTTTTCTCTATTTTTTCTAGCACCCCGCAAAAATTTGAGCTGAATTTTGGAATCTTTATTTAATGGCTTTGAGCATTTCTGTGTATGTATCTACAAAATCTGGAACAGAATATACACTTTCAAGAAGAAAATGTCAGCTTTGAGCTTGGTTGTGCACTCTGATATTGTGTGATTGCATCGCTTCAGCAAAGGTGGGGGCTCCAGTCATCGTTATCTTTATCACTTGAGTCTGAAATATATTCAATGCCCTCCATAGGTTGTTTAAAGATTGAAGTTATGCTGCCTGCTCTTGGTGGCACGTGCAGGCACTTGCAGCCAGGTCGGAACCAATTCAGGTTGTTTCACGAAAATTGATTTTGATGCCTCAGTTCAATTACTCCTGCTTCCTATTTTCTGTAATCATCATGTAGACCATCAAAGCTACAAAATGAGCCCCAGATTGCACCTGGGCGCTTATTTTTTAGCACCTGGCAAATTTTTTGAGTCTGACAAAAAACCAAATTCTTGTTTTCAGGCTCCTGAGTATGGATAATGACTTCTATTGCTAAATTATGATGATTTGATGACAAATTCAGGTATTTCCCGTGAGAATTTTGGGTTGAGTTAAATTTCCAGTCTTTGCATGTTGTCAGGGCACACCCGCCTGACCCGGCTCCACCCGGCCCAACCTGACCTGGTACCCCGCCGGTCCACCCTTCCTTACCTCCTCCCCCTTTCCCTTCTTCCCCCCTCATCCTCCCCTCCTCAGTTTCTCCTTATCTTACTTCTTCTTTATTCTCCCTTTATTCTACATGGACGACTTTCTCTGTATCAATGTACAATTGACCCATCTGCAGCACGCCCACCATGTACCTGGCCCGGGCACCTCAGGCGACTTCCCACTGTGCCCAGCATGCACACCTGCACCGGATGCCCTCGGGATCTCCCACGGAGACACCCGGGTGGTTACAGCTGTGTGCGAGGGTGACATGGCACCCGTCATGTGATCCAAGCCGCATGTATATAAACGAACCTGAAGTGGGAACCAAAGAAGTAACCTTCTTCTCAACTTTC